CTCACTGCCGGGGGGAGTGGGGGGACTCCAGGTCTACACATATACTCAGCCTTTACAGATACTTCAGACCCAATTATATCACACCCATGGGGCCCCTGATGCCTGGCCGCTTCCGCAGCCCACCTGGCATGTAACCTAGATGCCTCCCTCTCTGCTTCTTGCCAAGCGGGAGGTTCAGCTTATGTCTCTCCGGAAAGTCCTAAATCACCGGGACGCACGGGGCCTCTATGTTAAAGGAAAGTAGGTTTCATTTCTGATCCCGTCATCTTCTGTAAATTCTCATAATCACAGGTCATTTAATGATTACGGATATGGGAGAAATAAAAGGGAAAGATCCCCAATGTCGCAATCTCTTTGGGTTAAAATCCTGACTCTTCCACGTTCTAGCTATGTAACTTGGGAAGATTTGCTGAACTTCCCTCACCTGTAAGGTGGCGTAATGAGAGTGTCACTTATAGTGGTTGAATAAAGACTCAATGACCGAAGACAAAGGAAGTGTTCAGAGCAGTGTTTGGCACAGAGCAAGCGTGCAGTGTATGTTAGCTGGTAATAATAATAATTATTACTGTGCTAATGTACCTCACCAAGTAGAGTAGGTTATGATAGGTTTTCACCACAAGCTTCAAAGAGTCACATGTACTTACCGGCTCCTGCAATAATCTATTTTGGGCACATTCTCCAGTGTCACTCCATCTCGTGTGAACGCTTGTCAGTAAATGTCATCTACACCACCAGCTTGCTGCCCCCAAGCCAGCAATGACGGGTGATTCTGTCCCTCAGGGGACCAGGAAATGACATTTCTCAATAGTCAGACAACTTCTTATCAAAATTAGCAAAACCCTGAGAAGGATTTTCAGAGATGGGCACGTGGTTCAGTGGAAGGAGCAATGGCCCAGGAGACAGACACTAGTCAGAACTGCTTTCCATGCTGTGTGACTCTATGCAAGTCACTTTCTCCCTCTGGGCCTTGGTCTCTTTATACCTGAGGTGGCCCAGCCCAGGAACAATCACCAACAACCTCCCTTTCATCTCTCTTTAAAAGCACATAGCATACTTCTAAGTTAAAATGGACGATTATTTAATGTCAGCCTCTCCCTCTCAAGTGTAAGCTCCAGAAAGAGAACATTGCCTCTCAGTGCCTGGCACCTAGTCAATGCTCATTTTAATACTTGATGAATGAATGAATGAATGAATGAATGATGTGGTACAAAGATAAAGATTTGGGAGCAAGACAGACCTGATTTTGTATTAGGATTGGCCAGTGACCCTGCACTGATCTGAGCCTCAGGATTATCATCTGTAAAATGGGGATAATAATTGAAACAACCATACCAGTTGTTTTAAGGATTGAATGTGAAAACACATATACAGCAATAACAGCCCTGGCCTAATATCTAGCATGCAGCGGGAATTAGATAAACAACCGCTACTATTTACTTCTCTAGGGACTAGCACGGGGGAATGGAGTATCCTGTGTTTGATGATTGAAAACTAAGGTTAAAAAGGTAAATCCAAATATACATTAATAGACTCTAAGTGGGCTTACCTATCACAGGGCAGCCGGGTTGCAAAGAGTTTTCCAACACCCCCTTGGCCTGCCAGTGACCCCCCCGACACACACACACGTCTGCTCCCCATCCTTTCCTTTAACCTCTGCTGCTTTTTCTAGAACACCAGTATTTGCCTGTAGGTGATACCCCAACCCACCTCCCTGGGCAAACAGAACAGCATGAGGCGTGATGAGATGAGGCATGGCCTGGATTGCATGGGGATGTGGGGAGACCGAGGTCCTCGTCCTAGCTCTGACCTGGTCCACACTCGCCATGTGATCTTGGGCAAGCCACCTCTCCTCCGTACACCTGACGCTTCTCATCCGCCATGTGCTCAGCCCACTGACACAGCGCCCCACTGACACAGCGCTCGGTAGTAGTTAGGGACCTGGCGTTTCCGGTTTAGAGCTGGCTGGGTGTCTCTGCTCTGCACCTTCCAGCTGTGAGTCAAGTACCATTTCTAGCAAATGGACAATGGGATTCAAATGGGCATCTTTGGAGGAATTAACGACACAGTGTCTCCAAAGCGCCTGGCAGATTTGTGCACAATAAGTGAAGATTGTTGACCCATAGGCCCGCCCTTATTTTCACTTAGTTCAAGTTTCTGCCTGTTAAAGAAGCCTAAGTTTCCTGACCGAGATGCACATCCATCAGCCTTCCTGCTGGCTCAGCACTTGGCAAGTGCTAAAATCTTTCACAGCAAAGACACGATCCCCACTGTGTGTGAGTGACACCAGCTCGCATGCAATTATTTTAATGCATGGCCCAAGGACCTTCTCGTCCCTGGGTTGGGTGTATTCTTAGGGGGGAGTCTTCCCTCTCCTTCCCTCTTGCATCCTTCAAAAGGCACAGGAAGAGAACTATTTCATGCTCACCCTTCCCTGAAATGTAAGCACCACCAAGTGGCCCCCTTCCAGAGAGGATTAGCTGGCTCTTTCTGCCCTGTCCTGGGGGCTGAAGGCCCACTTCCTTACTTATTGCTACGCTGGCCTTCATGCTGGGAGGAGGGGGAGGGAGGACAGAACACCGCAGTGAGGGGAGAAGCAAACCCACATACACGGGGCCACTCTGACTTGCAGGCACTGTGCTGGGCGTTTGCTTAATCCTCTTCACTACTTCGTGAAGTCGTGGTAACCGATCCCCACCTTGCACACGAGGAAACCGCCACACTAAGGAACGAGGTGGCCCAGGACACACACGGCCAGTGAAGAGCAAAGCCAGGTTTCGAACCTGGGCTGGTCCGACGTCCCCGGTTGTTCTGCACTGTTGTACGGCTGCCGGGTGTGGGAGGGCAGGGCTGTGGTTTGGGCCAAATAGGTTTCTTGGGCCAAACCGTGAGACAGGGACTAGGGCCTGCAGAGCAGTTTGTACCCAGCCAGCTTCAAGGGCCGTCGCTGCCGTACATCCATGGGACCCCGAGGGAGAGGGCAGAGGGAGACGGGCCTTCCAGACCTCTCCTTAGATGGCGGGCCCCGGGTCCCGCTGCAGGCTCTCCCAGACGGACTGCGGCTGAAGGCGGGAGCCAGGATGCGACTGAGCTCCGTGCCCAGTTCCTGTGCTCAGTGTCACCACCCTGAGAGGCGCGAGCGAGGGCACTGGGAATAGAGAGGGAAAGGTGGGAGTGATTTTCTTTCCTCCGTAATGTGACAAAGCGGGAAAAGAGAAGGTTTTAAAACCTGGCTTCCGCTCTTTTCCACGGTGTGGAGGGAAAACCATGGGCTTTTGAATCAATCATATTTGTTCAGACTTATGTTTGACTCCCAGCTCCAGCGTTTACCAGCTTCGTGGTCCCGGGCAAGTTACTTCTCCCCGGTTTATTGTTTATGGTCGCATTCCTCGTTAGGGTCGGCGTGAGGATTGAAAGAAGGTAATGGATATAAAGCTGAGGGAGAAGTTGTTCCACCGACAGACAAGCTCCCAGCCAAGGGGGCGAGCAGCACCCGCTGGGAATGACAGCTGACGCCTAGCTGCCGTCCCTGGCTCTACCTGCGGCCCTCCCACTCGCATCTCCTCAGTGCGATCAGAGTAATCTTCCTAAAACCCAGAGTCAGTAACTTCCCCCTACTTAGAAATCTCTGTCGATGCAGTCTGAGTTTTGAACAGAGTCTCCACGGAGCCAGGATCTCCCCCCACTTACCTCTGCAGTCACACCCCTCACGCACTCCGCTCGTGCCCCCGAGCTCCAGCGGCAACTCGTGACTTCTCATTGTCCAGATGAGCCACAGTGTTCCACGGATCTTCCCTCTGCCCGGATTGTGTCACCACCATCCCCTCTGCCCCAGGTCCTGTCTCCCCAGGAAGCTCCCAGGCATCCTTCGAGCCCCAGCACAGGCCTCTCCTTCTGCGATGCTTCCCTCCATTATTGCATTCTATTACCTGTTTGTGGTCGTATGTCCCTAGCAGACCATGAGTGGGCCAAGGGCAGGCACTGCCAACAGGGACCTCTTGGTCACCTCCCAGTACACTGCAGGTGCTTAATAGTCGGTGCCAGCATTTATCGAGGGCTCACCCTATGCCAGGGTACTACTTAGGTGCTTTACGTGTATTAACTACTTGATTTTTCACAGCGGCTCTATCAGACAGTGTATCCATGAGTCCTGGCTGGAAGCAGAAACCATACCAATTATTTGAATAGATAATTTAATCTTTAAAAATGATAATTAGACATGAGTTGTTCACTTGGTAACTAAAAAAGCAAAATAGACAATTACAAAAACAGTTACCGCACCTGGAGCGGAAAGAGCAGATGGAAGCGGTGGCTGTTATTATAACTTGGGGCTGGAACCGAGAGCTGGGGTGGGGTCAGCGGGCAGTTCCAGAGGCAGCAGCACTGGGCAGGGATGGGAGAATGATGAATCCGGTTCCCAGTGCTGGGGAAACTGCAAAAATGGATTTAACTCCTGCTCAAGGGAGGAAGTGCCACTGCCAGTGTGAGGGAAGGAGGTGGGGTGATGCTCGCAGAAACAGAAAGCAGCAGGAAGGAGCGCGTTCCTTCTTCCTCCTCCGGACTCAGTCTCCCTCTCATGGCCCCGATTGGCAGCGCCTTAACGAAGCAGCCGGCGGAGCAGAAATAGGGTTTACCGAGTTCCGGCCTCAGCATCGCCCAGCAGGTTTGAAGCTGAGACACAAAAGCTGGCGGGCACAGGCAGGAGCGGTTACTACTCCCGTTTCTCAGATGAGGAGACTGAGGCACAGAGCGATTAAGTAACTCACCTAAGATTAAATGATTACCTAGAGAAGAGCCGGGATCCGAACCCGGGCACCCCGGCCTCAGCACCCTTGCTCTTAGCCACTCCACCGCAAATGTCGAACGAAGGAATGAATGAATGAATGAATGAATGAATGAGTGACTGGGAAGGCCCACACATAATGCTGAGGCCAGTGCGCAGCCGTGGCTCCCTTCCAGCGCGAGGTCCTCGCTGCCTGACGGCCTCCTTATCGCCCTGCCAGGTCATTCACTGGAACTCCCCCAAGAAGCTGCGGGTGAAGAACAAGCACGTGGAGTTCTTCCGCAACCTCTACCTGACCTTCCTGGAGTACGACGGGAACCTCCTGAGGCGGGAACTGTTCGGCTGCCCGAGTGAAGCCGACGTCAACAGTGAAAACGTAAGTGGCTCTCGGGGCAGCTTCTCCTCCGGCGCGCCAGGCTCCGTGCCAGACCCCATCCCCGCCCCGGAGGTCCCCCCTCGGGTGGGGGAGATGGCGCATGCGCAGATCGCTTCCGTGCTCCTCTCCAAGGATGCAGAGGGGTACGCTTGGCCTAGATTAGGTGAAGTCAGAAGTGAATTTCTAAGCGGAGGAATCAGAATGAACAAAAACAGTGGAGCAACAACAGATAAAGGGGCTCTGCACAGCCAGGAAACTTCGGAGGTCTGTGTGCGCATGGCTACCCCATGGGAGACCCAAGATTCAGTGTGGACAGTGCGTGGGGTGGCACCAGAGATTTTCACAAGCTCCTTTAGGGTTAGCTTGGGCGAAGAGTGTTAGATAAATGGTCACAGTCATAGGTAACATCTATATGTTTCTATTTCTTCACTATTCATATTTTTTTTATATGCCATATCTCATCTGATGCTCGTAGAAACTCTTTCTTTTCCCCCAATTAAAGAAATTTAGGCACAGAGAGGTTAAGCAGGTTTGCTCACAATCACACAGCAAGCCAGGAGCAAAGTGGAGAGTGATTTGAAGTTCTGAGGAGCAGGGTTTGGGGAAACAGCACATCGTAGCAGAAAAAGCAGGGCGTGTGGGGTCAGGCTGACCTGGTTTGGGCTTTGATCCCTTCTAGTTACCACCTGTGTGACCTCAGGCAAGTTATTCAACCTCTCTGTGTTTCCTCAACTGTCAAGTGAGGCAGTAAAACTGTTATAGGAATGCTTTGAAACTAATCGAGAAATTGCACGTAAAGCACCCACCTAGCTCAGCGTCTGCCTTATGTTAGATGCTTGATATATATTTGCTTCCCGCCCTTTCCTGGACCTTTAGTATTAGACACAGACGTGATTGGTTCATTTAGTCAGTCAACAAACATTTACAGCAGCTCTATCAGACAGTGTATCCATGAGTCCTGGCTAGAAGCAGAAACCATACCAATTATTTGAATAGATAATTTAATCTTTAAAAATGAGGGGCTTATTCTAAACATTGAGTACTTATTAGCCAAAAAAGGATAATGGTCCCTGCTCTCATGGTGCTTCTGTTTTAATGGGGAGACACAATTAATAACGATACAAACTATCAGGAAAAATTATCATCCAGTGGCTAGTTCTACATAGTGACATATTAGTGAGCAGCTGGTTTGAGGGGTGGTGGTCAGGGAGGACTTCTCTGAGGAGGTGATATTTAATCTGGTCACTGAATACAAGAAAGAGCCAACCTTAGAAGAGGAAGGAGTCAGGGAAATAAAATCAAGGCCACAATGAGATATCACCTCAAGCCTATTGTTATCCAAAAAAAAAAAACATTACAAGAGTTGACAAGAATGTGAAGAAATTGGAACCTTGTACATTGTCGGTAGAATGTAAAATGGTGCAGCCGCTATGGAAAACAGTATGGCAATTCCTCAAAAAATTAAAAGTAGAACTGCTCTATGAGCCAGCAGTCCTAGTTCCGGCTTTATATCCAGAGGAATTGAAATCAGGATCTCAGAGTGGTACCTGCAACTCCACGTTCACTGCAGCATTATTCACAGTAGCCAGGACAGGGAAACATCCTAAGTGTCCATTGACAGATGAATGGATCAAGAAAACGGGGTATATACACAGTGGAATATTATTCAGCCTTTAAAAAGGACGAAGCTTTACCATGGTGATAACGTGGATGGACCTGGAAGACATTATACAAAGCGAAATAAGTCAGTCACAGAATGACAAATACTGCATGACCCCTCCAATAGGAGGCATCAAAAAAATAGCGAAACACAGAGTAGATGATAGCATGGTGGTTATTACCAGGGGATGGGCAGAAGGGGTATAGAGAGTCGTTGTAAAGTGGGCATAAAATTAGTTATACAAGATGAGTAAGTTCTAGAGATCTTCTGTACTTTACAGTGACTGTAGTTAATAGAGAGTTGTGCACTTAAAAAAGACAGAAGACTCTTTCGGAGGCGATGGATATGTTTTTTGCCTTGATCGTGGTGATGGTATCGTGAGCACGTACATATGTCCAAACTCACCGTATAGTGTATATTAACTACATACAATTTTTTGTATATCACCTGCAGACCTCAATAAAATTGGGGAGAAAAAGGAGAAGAGCAAAGGAAGTACTTCCTAGTGGAGAAAGTGGCTGGTACAAAGGCCCCGGGGCCCGGCAGGAAGTGAAGGATGATGGCCTATGTGTCCAGGGGCTCGTGGGGAGGAGGGCAGTGGGAGAAGTCGAGCAGCGGGTCGGCAGGAGTCAGGTTGGGAGGAAGTTGCGAGCCAGGTTAAAGAGTCCGAATTTCGTTTTGTTACTATTATTGCTATTGTTTCTGTTCTTATCTTGGATGTCACAAGAAACCTTTTAGGCTCCAGGTCGCAGGGGAGGGCGTCTGTAGAAGTCTGGAGGCATCACTCACCTTGCCCTTTATCAGGATGACCAGTCACAAGGCCACCCCCGCTCTGTCTTCTAGCCCCCGAGCCACAGCGGAGTCACCTCTAGCTCTGGCCTTTTTCTCCACATCACCCCGGATGCCCCTCTCAGTGTCTGGCCTTTCATTACCTCTGGCAGGAGAGGAAAGAAAACCATTAAACACTTGAACTCTGTCTCAGACTCTGGGAAGCACTTAGAGGTTTCCACAAACACTGTGTTCTTTTGGGGTTTTTCCTTTACTTTTTACTCAACAGTATTTGTCATTATCATCAACCTTCAAGTGCCCACTTGGCACTTTTTTCCCAAACGCTAAGTAAAAACTGTTCTCCTGCTTTTTTTTTTTTTTCCCCCTCCATGGAAGAGGCTCAAATAAAAAAACTAGCAAGATGAAGCCATTAGTTAATCATTGTATCAGGGGTTCCCCTGGTACACAGACAGTGTCCTATGAAGCGAGACTCCCTTTATAAATGACTCACCAGCTTTTCCTACCACCAGCTTCTGGTGAGTCGTTGGGTCGAGATTGGGGGTGGAGGGGAGGAGGCAGGTGAACAGTCTTCCATGGTCCTTCTCAAGTCTGTGACGATATTTATCTGCTCAGTAAGCACGTGCGAATGTCGGCCATCGGCCGGGCTCGGTGCAAGGCACTGGGGTTGAAATTAGAGGCCGACCCAGTCCCTAGAGGTAAACTGCTTGCTGCGTAAGAAGTGATAGAGACCGCCAAGAGAATAAGCGTCTGTCCAGGTACAGGGAGGACCACGAATGACAAGAGAGCGGCCCTCTGTGAGCCCGCTCCCCCGCTGTCTTAAACACTCTAGTCCTCGACACTGCAGAAGCCACACCTGGGGCTTTTCTCTTCCCTCTACATCCCAGGCTCGCTCCCACCCCCACCCCCCACCTCCGGTCTTGCTTCCCACTGCCTGCGCCCCCCTGCCCCCAAGTGTTTAAACTAAACGTCTGACCTGTGGCATCTTCAGAAACCTTCCCTGGCCCTCCTCAGCCTCAGGTAACTCTTTGTCACTCTCTGTGAGGAGCCCGATTTTCTTTTCATCGGGGCATGCGCACTATTTACAATTATTGGGTTCACATAAGTTGTTTTTCAGCTTTTTTTTTTCCCCCTAAATATAAGACCAGGAGATAAGATTGTTAGACTAGAGGCTTTGCCTGTACCGTTCACCTCTGGGGTCCCCTCCCCCATTATAGAAGCAAGCACATAATAATCACATACTAAATATTTGTCGAATGAATTGAATGAGAGAAGAACGATGTGCCAGGTGAAGGCAGAGCAGATGAGGGAGTAGAGAGCTCGGGGAGAATGTGCTGGTAGTTTGTGTACGAGAAAGGAGGCACCTGGGGACAGGGACCGAGAATGGAGCTGACCTGGAGGGCCTCGGCCATGCTCAGAGTTTAGACTCCACCAAAGGGTTTTCATCCTGGTCGGATTTACATTTGAGGAAAACCCCTCCGTGTAGAGAATAGGGTGAGAGGGACAAGACTGGAGGCAGGGAGGCCACTTAGAGGCTATTGCCAGCGTCCCAGGCAAAAAAGAAAAAATGACAGTGGGGCTGTGACCTAGGGCAGCAGCAGTGGGGACAGACAGAGCAGACGGATTGTTTTGTGGGCACTAAGAACAGCAGAGCAGGTGCAGGTGGCCATCATAAACCAAGACCGCGGGGTCCCCGTGCCCTGCTCCAGCCAAGTTCCTCTGGCCGAGCCGGCCTGCAGCAGCAGAGGCTGGGAAGGTGGGCGTCTGCAGCACTGCACCCCAGAACCCGTCTCGTAGGGGGTCTCACCTCCTGGGCCTTTGTTATCTGCAAACACAACCAGAAGGAAAGGCAAGATCGTGGATCCAGCCCCAAGCCAGGTGCTCCCATTTCCGTGGGAGGAGGTCACTTAGCACTGTGCACAGATGGTGGTCGTCTCCAAGAAATGAAGTCAGGAACCTCCTCCTCGGACTGCAGATCCCAGGTGGGCAAATTCTCCAGTGGCACTAAGTTTCAAGGCTCGGACATTTAGTCATTCAAACAATCACCATCCTCAGGGCTAGTGATCCAGAGGGAGCATTGCAGATCCAAGCCCTGCTCTCACAGTGCTTGTCTAGTGAGGGAGGCGGACAAGCAGGGGCTCGCTCTCCACTGTGATAAATGCCTGGATGGCGGGGGAGCTTGGAGAGCACACAAGAAGGACAGAGCACACCCGAGGAGGAAGAAGGTGCATCAGGGAAGACTTCCTGGCAGGGGCGAGGTTTGAAGAATGAATAAGGAATGAGAGGTATGGAAAGTGAACTCGGAGGGAGGAAGCAGCACAAGCGGTGGAGACCTGAGGTGAACGGAAAGCGTGGCACGTTCAGATAAAAGTGAAGGCAGTGTGAGAACTAAAAGGGCTGGAACATTCTTTTTCACATTATTTAGTTTTTTTCACTGTGAGTTTTCTCAGATCACTCATTTAATACTCATGTGACCTCAGAGGAGTCACGTGCATGCTCTGAGCCTCAGGTTCACCATCTGATAAATGGCGACAGCGACGCCTTTGTCCTAGTG